GGGATTTTGGGCACACATGCACGTGCCCTTGGCTCAAGCTCCCGGTGCCTTAACTACCATGCCACCTTCTAGCCCCTCATCAGTGTGCTTTTTTAAACTGGTTTTTACTTTACCATCAGTGCTGCATCATTAACCTGATATGAAAGTGTCATTTTAACAGTTGATGGCCAAAGAAGCAATTCTTGACTCTGCCCCTGATATTCATTCATTCATTCATCTACCTAGCACGTGCACATTAACCTTTACTATGTGCTGAATACTAGGAATAGCACTTAGTGCGATGCACAGTTGAATGAAGTGTGGGACGTGACTCAAGTAGCTCGCAGTGTCTGGCTGTCTCTGGAGGCAGCCCAAGTAGACAGGGTGTCACTGCGGACGCCTGTGCAGCCTTTACCCAGCCCGGGTAGTGCCTGTTACCAGGCAAGTTGCAGACAGTTGAGACACTCAGCTCTTCAAGTCCTGGGACAGCCCCCATTTTGGAGCTTCAGTAACTGGTCCCTCCACTAGTTGCAAGGGTGAAATACTGAGGACTCTCCTCTTTGTGACTGCAGTGCTCTCTGAGGCCCCCAGTAAAGGGGATCATTTCATCCTCTGGGTCTTGGAAGCTTTCACCTGGGTTGCTGAGGCTTAAATATGCACGGCCTAGTGGGCAACTTACAAGAGCCTTTTTATTTTTTAATACTCGCCATAGAGTACAGGGAGAGAGCACCCCCCATGAGGGATGGCCATGCCGGAATCCCTTCTCCATCTCTGCCTCCATTCAGGGTTTTGGGCTTGTAGGCACACACACCTGGCATGTTTCTGAGTCACTGGTGTAGTCTTCAGTGTGGGCTCCAGCTGCCTTAACCACCATGCCACTGACTGGCCCAAGGCCTTTTTTTGGTGCAAGACCATACCTCATCTTGTCTGTCTCACCTTCAGGTCTTTTTCAGTCCCTCTAACATCCTAATTTTAGACCCTCTACATACAGTGTATCACCAAGGCTGTTAGCAATGGTTTACTGGCCTGGGTGTAATCAGCCTTCCCCCCTTAAGGTTACATTCTCCCTGATCCAGGCAGAGTGGGGCGTTGTCTCACAGGCATTGCACCTGCATTCCTCCCAGCTCTCCCAGCAGGAGGCCAGAGCTGCTTGCCTGCCCCAGGTCCTTTTGGAGCCAGCCTTGCGCTCCGTCTCCCATGCAGTGCTGTCCCAGCCAAGCTGAGTCTCTGCCTGGAGAGCCCAGCCCAGGCCCTGCCCCTCGCCACCTCTGCGTGGCTGTGCTGCCCACCACCTGGGCCTGCCTGTCCTGTGCCTGACGCAGCCGCTCTCCTCCCGCCTGCCGTGTGGCCGCTTCCCTCGCCCAGACGCCTTTCGTGCTCTTTGCAGTCGGCCACAGACTTCCTTCTTGGTGCCGTGTTGGTTCTGCTCGAGACTCTGGTCTCGCCATGTCTCGCCTTCTTCCCTCAAGCACAAGAGCAGGGTTCTGTTCAGTCCCAAGTTTTCCCACACCTAGTACAATGTGTGATATGTAACAGCTAAAAAAGAGTAGTCTCGATGCCTTTCCTGTTAGTCTTCCTCGTCGTGAGGTCATGGGACCGTTCTCCTTGTGTTCACGATTGAGTCCAGAGAGGTCCGAGGCTACCTACTCAAGGCCCTCTCCGTGGACGTGGGCAAGATGCACTGTCAGTGTCTTGCCATTCTGTTAACACTGTGGCTCTTTGCAGTCTGGGGGAATACAGCGAAGCAGCAAGCCATAGAGCATTCCGCTGGCTTGCTTGCTGGGGTGATGACAGAGCTTGATGAGCCAGGCAGTGGGTGATAGGTGGTGGCCGCCCTTCTGGGACTGCGCTCACACACTTGCACACAGCCCGGGCAAGTCCTTCCTTGGCCCTCACGTTACAGTTGTTTTCTGTTCTCCTTGAGAGAGACTTACTTCTCTGCCTTACAGTAGTGAAACTGACTTTTCAAACTAGTGAGATAAGTAATAAAACAAGACATTCATTCTATACCACTTAAATTTTTCATAAAAACCTCTATTATTTAGCATACAAAATCCACTAACTTATTTAATGTAATTAAGTGATTGTGTAGGCATCATCTTATATAATTGTTCAGTCTAATTCCTCTCAGTTACAAGTCTGGCATTTGGGACCAGCAATTGGTATAACAGCTATGTTGCTGGACTCCCACGTAGTCGACTGTGGTTCGAGTCCCTGACCCAGTGGCTTAAACTCATGCCAGGCGCATGTGCATGCATGCCCAAGATCCCGAGAGGAGAATGGAGGAGAAGGGATTGCGGCGTGGCCATCCCCCCTGGGTGGTGATTTCTTGCTTTCTGTGTCTTTCTGGTGAGTGCACACAACCTATAGCAAAAACCTCTAAGAAAAACAAAAACAAAAAGTCTTAGCATTTTATTACTCTTAAAAACTTGGTTATTTTCTAATTCTGATGGAGCTTTACTGCATTCACTGCTCTCAGTACGTCCTTCTGACTGCAGGGCTTCCATCTGTTTCTCTGAGAAGCAGCGGGTAGCTGGGTAGCAGGGCAACCAGAGCAGCAGAGCCCCAGAGCATGTCTGCAGCTCCCAGTGGGTGCCCCTCTTCTGGAAGCTCGGGTGTCTTAGTTACCAGCTTACACACTTGTCTTCATTGGAAACTCGCGTCCATTTGTCCTTGGAGCTGACTGCATGTTACGCCTTTTTTCTTACTGGCAGGAGACGTAGTATATACAGTCATTTTAAAATCATCACTGACGTCTCCCAGTCTAGATTGCTTTAAGATTTTTTTTCTTTTAAGAGAGATTTTTGCTATAGGGCGTGTGCACTTGCCAAAGAGACAGACAGCAGGAAATCACCCCGTGGAGAGGGGGAGGGGGTGACCACGCCACAGTCCCTTCTCCTCTTGGGATCTTGGGCATGCACATACAGGCGCCTGGTGTGAAATTTAAACTGCCGAGTCCGGGACTTGAACCACAGTTTACTGCGTGGGAGTCCAGCGATGTAGCCATACGCCACCCTGTTCCCGAGTGTTTAACAGAAGACCAGAGTGGGTGCCAGGGCAAAGGGGACGCGCACCCTCCATCGCCCTTCACGTTGCCGCTCTCTTCCTCTGATTACTTTTTCCCCTTTAGTCCATCTCAATTGGTTTAATAAAGTCCTGCTGTTTTTCCACTCAAATTTGGGTTTGCGATCACTCTGGCATGGCTGTTGTTTCTAGGGAACCCCAAAGAGTCTGTTGAATTAATTTTTGTTTAACTTCATTACCCTGGGCAGTAAGGGCAGTGTGTTCATCTCTGTGGCGATGTTGTGTGCAGGTGCCCCATGACCTCAGAGCCCACGGCATTTACCCAGGCAGCCACTGACTTTTGTTTATTTTGAACACTCTGCAGTAAGCGTTCATGTCGTATGTGTGCGTATGGATTAATTTCGAGTAGTCATTCCTTTCTGTTGGTGAAGTTTATTTCTTCTCTGAGCCAGAGATTGACATGCACCTCCAAGGAAGTCCTGGCACAGGGACCCACACAGCCCCTGCCAGCCCTTCATCAGAGGATGGGCACCCCACACTTGTAGGGAGGTCTCTGGACTTGAACTGGGAACCCTCCACTGCGGGATTGCCTCACAGAGCTTCTAGCAGTTCAGCTCTGTGCCATTACCTCCAGCCACCCTCCATGAGCCGGTGAGCCTCGCTCTCCAGCCCTTCTGCACTGCCGTTCTCTCGTCCCTGATGATGGCTCTGGGCAGCCACCATCAGTGCTGGTCACGGAAGTGAAATAAGGGACAGAGACAGATGATGCCATGTGACGAGGTCCGCCTCTTTAATGGAGAATTTCTAGATACTGTGTAGACTTACTTCTGGATTAGCATAGTAGAAATTATGTATTAGTGGAGAACGGTCTTTCAAATCCACATTGTTAAGCCGTTTGCATATTAGCTCTCATTTTTTCATGGGGGGTGTGAGCAAGAGAGACTGACAGAGACAGAAAGAGGAAATCCCACATGAGTAGCTGCCGCTCCTGTTCGGGACAGGCCTCATAGGCCCTGCCCCCCACGCCCTAACGACTGGGCTGTTGAAAGATAGCTTTGGGACCCACGTTTCGCTTTGCGGGCTGCCCAGCACAGTGGCGGGCTGCCCCCACTGGTCTGTGCCTGCACATAGCGAGCTGCAGGCTGTGGCCTGGGAAGCCCGGGTCCTCAGAGCAGGGCATCGCCGGCTTCTCGCCACGTCCCAGTTCAGGGGATTTCAGCTTGGTTTTGCTCTCAGCTGTCGTTCAGACTACTGATCCTTTTTCATTTTTACTAAGTGAACGTTCACTGCTGGCCAGGTAGATCTGTTTGCCACTTGTCGGCTATAACAAGCTTTCTGAAAGTTTTGACAAGAATGCTAAAGGTAGATTAGTATTAAACAAATGTCTTGACCCTGCTTTTATTTAATTAGAATTTGACATAAACTGAGACTATTATCTTTACTCCAAACCTGCTTATCTGCTGGCAGTTCGATTCCTGACAGGGGTTTAGTGCTCGGTGTACAGCTTCACTGAAAGTGAGACTGGGAAGCGGTCACCCTCCGGAGGTCATAGTGCATACCTGAGTGTTCTGTGCCATGGAGACCGCCTGCCAGCTCGCTCACACGTCACGTCTAAGGACCTGAGTGCTCTGTGCCGTGGAGATCGCCTGCCAGCTCGCTCACACGTCACGTCTAAGGACTTGAGGGTTCTGCTAAGGCAGGATTGTTTTTTTTCCTACAGGATATTAGTACTTTAAGGTTCTCTGCTCCCCCATTTAATTTTGGATCTTTTAAGTGTTCACTGCCTGTGTCACTTTTTGTTTTCATTACCACTCTTACATGTGTCTCATGAGTTTGCTTGAACATTGCAATTCATTTCTAAATTTAAAACCCCTCACATACTTTCCATATTAAACCATAGTAAGTACCAGCATAGCCTAATTGGAATTTAATTCATACTAGTTCTGGGTGGCATTTTAAAGGTAAACCGTTGCTAACGTTGTTTTTAATTTTAACAGCCTCAAGTACTACAGCCTTCCAGCAGCCTTCCCAGACCCACAGACCACACCCAGGGAAAACTAGCAAAGCCGCAGCATACCGAGGCCCACAGTGAATGTGCACCCCGGGGTGTGCACCAGGGCACTGCACTGGAGGAAGGCTGCGCACGTGGCGTGCATCATGAAGTCAGCTGCGGCTTAGAAGACCAGCCCTTTTCCTCAAGCCCACAGTTCACGACGGAAGTGGCTACGAGCACACCTTCGGAAACAAGCTTGAACGTGACCATCCATGCTCAAGACCCCTGTTCAGCACCTAATCTAGTCAGTGACATGCAGTTTGAACCCACTTCTCTTCAGACACCTGCCCAGCCAGCTACAGACCAGGGCGAGAGAGTTGGAGGAGACCAGTCTCTGCCGGTGGGCTACACACCCCAGTCCATGTCTGTGCAGCTGTTAAAGCCGTCCATCTTGAATTCTTTGGTACCTCCTCCAGTTCCTGAACCACCTCCAAGTAGGACTCCCACTTGCAAGAAGTCAGCGATAATCACACCATGTACTTCAGCAAAACTTCAGCCAACATCTAGTCAAACACATCTTATAAATAATCCTAATCTGAAAGTGTCTAAGCTTCGTCCCCCTTCTGGCTCTTTCAAACAGAAACAACTAAGCAGCCCCCGACTCGAGCCGCAGCATTCCCAGGCCAAGACAAGCATCCCAAGGCCACTAACACGACCAAAAGAGATCATGCAGAATCCAAATGGCGGTTTGCATTCTGGGGATTGTCTGGCCTCTAATCGGTATTCTCGTCTTCCTAAACCAAAGATACATTAAACACATAGCCATCATCTGCCAATTTTTTTTCTTTAAAACAAAACAAAACAATCTGTTCTGTAATAGCTTTACGTACAGTTTGCTACCATGGTGGAGGTTCCATTCAAAGCCTGCAAATCTTAAAATTAAAATGTGGAAGCTTCTTCTAGTTTGGTCTTCCATTTTATGTACTGGTCGAAGTACATCCCATTCGAGCATTCTTGTCTCAGGTGAACATAAAAGCTTGCTTACCCATCAGAGGCCCAGGGAAGGCTCCAATCATGTCCTCCATCCCTCTGCATCTCAGAAACCTTAGCACACTCCACTTAGTAGGCGAGAATATGCTTTGCTGACTTAGTCCTGGTAAGGCGTGTCGTAATTGTGGGTGTCAGAACCCCACCCCTCCTCACTGTCTCTCCTGTGGATTCGGCTGTTTGAACTAGCAGGCGCGGTGGTAGTGGAAGGTGGTAGTGTATAAGCAGAGTTCTGGCCAGTGTTTTGTATATTTGAAAGGTCTATGCAAATGCTTTATGGTTAATGAAGGATCAGGCTTTTAATGGGAAAGTCTATGTAAGTTTTATTTTTCCTCGCCAGGATCAGCAAGCTAGTCTTACTATTGATTCATTTTCCAGATGAACTTCCTAGGCTGAAACCATTCTGTTATACATAAGCCAATTATATGTATGTTAACATCTTGTTTTACACATGCACACTCATTTGTATTCGTATTTACTGCTGGGTGGATTTTAGTGAGCTTGAAATCTGCACCTAAAGCTACATTCACCTGTCACTTTTGGTGCTAGAGTTTTGGTGGTAATTCAGTCCTGAAACCCATTGGCATATGCATCCATTATAGCCATTTTAAAGTTCTACAGCCTATGTTTTAAATTACGTCTTTATTGTAATATTTCTATTTATTGACCTTCTGCTACTATCTGAAGACTGGAATAGTGGACTTGAAATGTTTGCACAAGACTTTGATGGGATTTAAATATCCCATACATAGCGATTTAAAACTATTTTCTATAGCAAAATAAGTTAAAATATTTTGAGAAAAATTATAAATTTAAGACTATCTTGAGAAAGCTGGATTCGATGTTTTTTTTTTTTTCTGTTTTCCTGAGTTTCCTGGCTTTCTCTTTACTGTTCGTGTACATTTCACAGTACTTGAAAAAGAAGATTTGAGAAGAATAGAACTGGACAAGAGAAGTTGTTTTAAAAATAGATATTGAAAGGCATTTCCAAGGCGCTACATGTTAATTTTCCTATGCTCAGGAAGGTAGCCATGGGGCCCCCGGGAGCCTTGTGGCCACATCTAACCCTCCTGTGGCCACTCGGCAGAGAAAGTGCAGCGGCTGTGCTGACTCCGCCCCAGATCACTTCCCCTCTGTGCTCCTCCCCTGGGCTGCTCTCTGTGGATTAGCATCTTTCAGACTGATGACCTTGTGAGGTCAGTTTGTGCTTTCATCTGCTGACCAAAATGTATTAAAAAGGATGATGGCCAAAAGTTTAGTCACTCAGATTTCTAGGGATTCTTTTAAAAAATGTGCATTGGCTATACTGTCTGCTGCTTTTAAAGGAGAAACAATAGCAGGTGCTTCAGTGGAAATTTGGAAAGAATTGTTTGCAACCATTTTGATGTAATCTTCCCTTAGCTGTCAGAGAACCACTGAAGTGACTTTGCCATTCAGTAGGTGCAAACTAAGTGCACCATTCCTGGGCTTGTGACGGGCGAGCAGCACACACCTAGTGTCGTACTCCCCACCGGCCGCACTGCCGAGGCGCGCCGACTCTCAAGTCTTCATGTAGCCCAGCTCGGGAGCGAGCAGCCATCAGTGCACCAGAGAGCAAGCTCCATTCGTGGAGACGTGCCCGATGCCGGCCCATCTGTGGGCACATGGGCATGTGGGTTCTGTCACCTTGAAAAAGAAAGAAAACCAATGTGCCAGATCACAGGTAGGATGCTACCATACTGTTTTTCCCTAACGTGAAACCTAACGAATTAGTAAGTTTTTGGTTTATTTAGAAGTTGGTATAGACCCTATGAAACGTTTATAAGTTGGCCTTATCGTTAGGTGAAAAGTTTAAAATTTAAGATTTATTTTTAACCTCCTACTTGGAGAGAAATGTCTCTATTACATAAAAATATTAGCTCCAGTAATTGGTTTATTATCTTTTTCCATGATTTTGCAGAAATGTTAGCCCATTAATTCACTCTTTCTGCACCTTCATCTAGCCTTAATCTTAATTTGGCTAGTCTTAAGACTGGCTCATCGATACAATTATGAGGCATAATACATTCAGGAGAAAAAAATCTAGGGTGCTTGCACCAACAACATCAAGTATTTGCTTGCAGCTTTCTTTGAAAGCTGCGTGAACATCATGCTGGTCTGCTTCTTAGTAAGTGTTAAGTGAGAAATGAAAGTGAGGGTATAGCCCTGCTAATACTGAGATGCGCCACCTCAGATGTGGCTTGATCTGTGTGTCAGCTCTGCACTGTCTCCTCGGAGCTCATCACTTATTCTCTTAGTTCTGATGACATTGGTGATACAGTTGCAGTGTATGAGTCCTAAGTCCCAAGGGAGAAATTTTATGGGGTTGGTTAAGTTTCACATTTATGAGAGAGAGAATAAAGGATGCAGAATTGTGTATTTGATTGTTAGTGGAATGCATATCAGAGTTTGTAAAAGAAAGCTGGGCCTTGCAAGTTTCTTGGTACAGGTGTAGGTGCTCTTCAGACATACTAATGGGATTATGGCACTACGTCATTTAGAGTGTTTCTAATAACAGACCATCTGGCATTTTTCTTTTGGAGTCTCCCCTTCATTTGTGCAATATTTTCAGGCATATAGACTACTGTGCACTGTATTTATATAGATAGTTGGGGCTTACTAGGTATTTTAGCAGATGAAGACCTGAACATGAAAGACAATGTCAGATTTGCACTTTAAATGAGCTTCATTGCTTCGAGTTGTGCCTGAAATGTCAGAATGCCTCCTATTGGGTGTGGCTTTGTTGAAATTGCTCTGTAATTGCTGCTGTTTGATGTTATCAGTACAGCCTTCCACAGAATCGCATCCTCAGCATGTCAGTTTTCTCATTAAAGCACTAAGTTTTCTTTCAGTGACCCACTGTCCTTGAAGTAGTTTACTCGGAATGTCAGAGAACATGCTCTCCATGCTCAGTGACATGCTGTCACTTCCCAGCGTTCCTGGAGTTGGTGTTAAAGAGGCAGAGGCGACTTCTGGCTTCTGAGCAGAGCTGTCGGACTGGGGTCCTGGGTCCTGGGTCCTGGGTCCTGGGTCCTGGGGCAGGGGATGTGCTTCACAGTCAGCCCCAGGCCTGCCGCGCAGATCAGGGCCAGCACACCTTTGCATCTCTGCCTCCCGCGGCTGCCTTACTTCAACTGGCCATGTCTGCATGCTGTGTTCACATTTGAAAATTAAGTACAGCCTCAATACAAGTTCCTGATGTTTTCCCTGGGGGTGATGATCTTGCTGTTTTTCTTTATTCTGATACTTGAGTTCTATTTTCTGGTGATCTTTCCATCTCTCTCTCAGTTTTCCGCGGCAGCAATTTGAAAGAGTATGTTTGCATGGGTGATTGTGATGGGCACCAGTCTACAGCTGCGTCATTAATTGAAGGTACACGTCGTAACTCTCGGGGGAAAAGCTACCGAGTTTCTCCCTGGGAAAGCATTGCCGTAACGAAATAACAGCCTGAGAATTTAAAGCCTCTTAAATCATTACTAACTAAAAACAAAAATAGTATCTGCAGTATTGTTTCCCCACTGATTTTAAAGGCCAGTTCAGAGTACATACTGTATATTAGGATTTGCCTGTAAAATGAATTCCAGAAACCAGATGTAAAGTCTTTTTTCCTGAAAATGTTGGCATAAATAAAAATAAAGTTCCTAATTATGAACATTCTCTTGTCCTTTTTAACCCTGACTTCATAGTTTACTTTCTCTTTGCTCTTTTCTCCACAAAGATCCCATCTACTGTCCGTTTGCTTTCCTTTTTTTTTTTTTAACTCCGAGATTGAGACACACACACTCCTTGACAGAAAGCACGCGAGAGAAAGGAAGGAAAATTACATGTGCAAATAGTCTGAAGCAAGAAAGGTGTTTGAACTACCCCATAGCACAGTCATTAAGGGAGCCAGATCCCACATGGCTGACCATGGTTCAAATCCTCGTCCCAGTGGCTTAAGAAAATTCCAGGCATGTGTGCCCCAAATTCTGATGGCATAGAGGAATGAAGGGGGAGGGGATTATGACTTGATCGTGCCCCACTGGGGAGTCCTTTCTCTGGTGAGTACATGCTCCCTCCAGTAATCTTTTTTTTATTTTTTATTTTTATTTTAGGAAAGATACTCAATGGCATTTTACTTTTAAAGAGAAAGAGAATAGGGCATTTATAGTTATTTTATTTTCCAGTTTAAGCTTATATGATAGTCATGGAGGCAGTGATGTGTCATTAGTCTGCAGTTGTTAGATAAATGCCCCAGGGGATGGACTTGCCTTAGTTCTCCTGTGTGGGAGGCTGGGGGTGGCGCAGCAGTGAGGCACAGTAGCGGGCTGGCCCGCAGGGGAAGGTTAGGCTCTCCTGAGACTCCCGAATTGCCTGGGGTGTGCGTGCCCTGATCTGGGGCTGGCCGATTCGGGGGCTCATGGTGTCAGGATCCTACCGGGGCGCTGCTTCTCTGTCTGTCTCTTCCTCTCTCATGGGAGAGGTACATTTTCAAAAAGTAACACATTGGATAATGGCATTTACTACCTCTTAAGACACCCATTTCAGTGTTTGAGAACATCTGAGTGCCAAGTACCTCCACATGTTGACTTGGAATTGTCCTCTATCAGCACGGGAGGTCCTTTAATCTGTGCTGTTGGTTCCACATTTCCCAATCTGAACAATGCACTTTCCCTGGAAAAGACAACGAAGCAGGACTGAGCAGAAGTTCCTCTGTTCCTTCCATGAGTCACCCTCGTGGGGAGCCACGCGTGTCGGTGGCCGTGCTGCCTGTTGGAGCTGACGCCACCCGCCGCCTGCGGGCTCCGTTCCAGGCCGCTCTCTGGGCCAGTGTCACACGGGCTCGGTTACGTGCCTTCATTTCAGTCCGCCCTCAGGCTCCCGGGTAGGATATCACTTAGCGTCCTGAGGGGTGCTTCGAATTAATACTGAGGTTTCTCAACTCTCTTCAGCCACTTTCCCATCTAGACCCTCAGCCCATCGAATCTTCCTGACGTCTCCCTTCAACGTCCAGACTCAGTCCAGGCCCTGTACCCCTTTCATGCCACTGTTGGTCACAGTCTAGTGGCCTAGCTGGCACTTGGCTGCTGTGGAGAAACCGAGGTCATCAGAGCCTTTGCTTGTCCATGAACTCCCAACCCCATGCCCGCACCCACCCTGTGCAAAGTAAATGGAAGGAGGAGAGCGCTGCTCACGGCCCTCCGCTGAGCTCTCCCTCCCCAAGCAGTGGCCTGTTAGCCTCACGTGGGCTCATTCACAGCCACGTGGTCGTGCATAATGAATTCTTCCACACCACACTTCCAGTGCCAGTCTGCCACAGGGAAGGGTAAGCGTTTTCACTGAGCCCCGAGAAACCTCGGGGAAGTGCTCGCCGCCTTTCCAGCCCTCTTGGTGTGGTAGGACGCGGGCGAGGTCGGTCCTTGCGTGGAGGAGGTCCGATGGCGGCGGGACGGCAGATCCTGCCCACAGCACGGACAGGCCAGCGGGCCACGAGAGCGGGATCCGGTGGTGAGCTCACTTCCGAACCCATCCTTCCTCCGCACTGTGCACTTGTGTGAGGGTGAAAAACACGGCTTCTCCAAAGATCATCACGTGGTTGTCGTGGGTGGCGGTTCACGCAGCCATCCTGTGGCCGCATCAGGTCCCAGGTCTAGGGACACCCTCGTTCAGGACGCATCAGCTGCAAGAAGGCAGGGAGAATGCGGACACTAGTACTCATGAACGTTGTAAAACGCAATTGTTAGTCCCAGAATGCACCATCCAGAGATGTAAAAAAGACCACTAAAACATGAAAAGTTACTTAGTGGTCAAGTTGCAAACTAGGGTGACGCTACCGTGCCTTTGTGACAAGAACTACAGGCGCGGGAGGTGCGGCCGGAAGCCGGTGCAGCGTGAAAGCTCTCCGCAGCCGACCCGCACAGGGAGGCCGCTGCCTGTGTGGGACCCTGGAGTGCTAGGCCCACAATGGGCCCCCAGAGCTGGGCGGGTTGTGGCATCAGGGCCCTGCTGAGGCGCCGCACCTCTGTCTCCCTGTCTCTTCACTTACGGAACAAAGAAGCTTAAAAAGATCAGAAGACTATAAACAGCCCAAATACCTGACAGGAGGATGATGAAAGTATTTGATCCATATGACAACTGTAATCAGCCAATGTCCCTGAAGAATATTTGCTCAGAATGTTCACATGTGGCGGGACCACGGCAAAACAACAAAGCTGTGAGTGGCACCATCTCCACGTGTGTGTGCTTATATTGGGCCGTCGGGAGAGTCATGACGCATCCTGGCATAGAAAAACAGAAAACGCCATGACTCTCCCGACGACCCAATAGAAGAGAATAAGATAATACCGTAGGATTATGGGTGATGGCGTTTTTTCCTCTTCATCTGACATAGTTTCTTCCATTGTGGGACTGCACTGTTACAGTCAGAGAAGCTTGTGTGTGTGCACGCCAGAGCGTGCACGTGTGTGTGTGCACGTGTGTGTGTGCGCGTGTGTGTGCACGATGGCGTTTCTATGCCTGAGTCAGGTCGGGAAGCCCCCGGCTCGCAGGCGCTCAGGCGCTGACCCTCCGCCGTGTTCATCAGAAAGGGGGCTGGTACCTCGGAGCCAGCACCGAGTCCCCGTGTAGTCCATTGTTCAGGTGGTCGCACGTGGGGACAATCACTCCGCACATTAGAGGGTGGCAAAGCCTGCGTCTCCCCGTGGTGATGGGTGGTTTATACCAGCCAGGCCTGGAGAGAGGCCTCTCCCTAACTTACACAGGCCCTTCTCCATGCTCTGGGCACTGTTCTTACTAGTCACTAGCTCCTTCCACACCTTTCCAGCAGAGCCGTACATAGCACTCTTCGGGCCGGCCCTTTCCCGGCTCCCGCTGCATGAGAGCTGTTGGCTGTGGGACATCACCTCTCACTGTGAACTGGGCCTGGTACTGCATGACAGAATTCCTTGTGCAGCCGGTAGATTGTCACAGTGTGGTTCAGTGGCTGCAGCAGGATGGCACCCAGGGCTCTGCCCCTGCTCCGTCCAGGCGTGAGGCCCCCTGGTCAGCTCAGCGGCTGCCTGCTGCCTCCGAGGCCTGGGTGAGCTCAAGTACGGGCCCCCCGGTTCTGCCCCTGGTCCTGAGCCAGGGAGAGGGAGGCCAGCCGTTGCCGTTACCCTACCATTTAGTCACGGTTTCCTTAGTGCCAAGGGGGTGCTGCTGTGGTGGAGGGTGGGGGGACCTGAAGGGGCCCATGGCCGTGCTCTCCGCAGGGGAGGCTGCTCGGAGCTCCTTCCCTACAGACAGACGGAAGACTGCACGCTACAAAGAAACACGGAAGAGGAAGCCTGACCTACGCTGCGCTATTACAGTTCAGCCAGTGGGACCAGCAGGTGGCGTAATGGTTACACCGCTGGAATCCACCTGGCTGACGTGGCTCGAATCCCAGACCCAGTGGCTTGAAACTCAAGCTGGGCATGTGTGCATATGGGCCCCAGGTCCCTAGAGGACAGTGGAGAAGGGATTGTTGTATGGGCATCCCCCCGGGGGGTGATTTCGTGTTTTCTGTCTCTGTCTCCCTGGTGAGTGCATGTATCCTATAGCAGAAATATCTAAAGAAAAGGAAAGAAAATCGAGCCAGTAGTGATGTATTTTGTGTGGAGGAATTCTCGTGACAGCTCTCCCTTGTTACCAGTGTTTGATTTTTCTGTGACCGCTGGCCGGAGGCCAGACCTCACCACCACCTCTAACAACGTGTGGCCATCCAGGTTCTCTGCCTGGGAACAGGGCTTCCCCTCTCTCTGAGTGACCCCGTGCCCGATGTTTCATTCTGCCACTCGACACTTGGAATCAAGTGCGACGAGCTGGGCGCACCGAGGGCACACGTGTGGTGCATGAGCACGCGGTGTCCGCCCCTGCCTACGGTGCCTGGCAGCCTGTGCAGGCCCGCATCGGGGAGCTGCCCTGGTCTTCCCGCGACCGCCCTGGCGTGCCACCTGTGCCTTCCCACTCCAGCTTCTGACACCCCAGCTGGCGGGGGCTCTGGCCCAATGTTATCTGCATGTCCGCCATGACACCCGGTCGTCCTGTCCCACCGCCCCTCCCAGACAACACTCCCTGTAGGAGAGAGCTTTTTACAGCTGGTTCTCTAAAGCTGTCTGGTCTTGTTTTACAAGGTCAAAGCCATTACGTTATCGAGGCATATTTTATGTGCGTAAGTTACCCATTTCACCGGTGTAGGTCAGAGGCATCGTCGTGAGTTTACCAGCTGTGCAGCCCCCACCGTACATCACGTTAGGCACGCTCCCATGGCCTGGAGGCTGTGCGCTCACATGACCAGCTGCCCCCTGACCCCCCCCAGCTGCTCAGGGTCGTGAACCCACTTCCTTCCACTCAACATCTGCCTTTTCTAGACTTTTTGCATACACAGGATCGCTCTTGGGGCCAGCACATGGTGTAGTGGTTACTTCACTGCATTCCCACGTGGCCAGCTGTGGTTTGAGTCCCAGACCCGGAGGCTTGAAGATCATGCAGGCACGTGTGCATGCATACTCAAGATCCTGGGAGGGGGATGGAGGAGAAGGGATTGCGGCACGGCCCTCCTCCCTGGGGGTGATTTCTCACTTCCCTCTCACTGCCTGTCCATCTCTCTCTGGTGAGTGCATACACCCTAAGGCAAAAACGTCTAAGAAAAAA